TGGTACTAATTTAATTAGTGTTTTTCAGAAATCCAAATTTTTGATCTTTCTTCAGTCTCGTAACTATCAAATGATAGTTTTATTTGATAGTGATAATCATTATCCAATTTTTATCATCATTTATAATATAATTAAGTTAATCTTTTCGATGATATCTAATCTAAAATTTGCATAGAATAACAATATTTAAGAATGGAACAACAATTTCAGTCTAACATTTATTTCATTTCGTATAAATAAGAAAAAATTTCATTATTTATTGTATTTCAAAAAAATTTCCATTATTAGTTATATTTCAAATATTCGTCATTATCGTTCATTTTTCAAAATTTTCAAATTTAAGTTTTGAATTTTGTTAAAAATAAAATTAATTAATTAATTAACGGGCATTATTATTGTAGTAATAACAGCAATAAAAATAATGACAGTTCAATTTTTCTGCAGATTTTTAACATAATTTTAGTATTTTCATTAAAAATTTTACAGTTCACTTAAAAAGCTGGAGAGAGGGAGGGAGAAGGAAGAGCGAGAGAGAGAAAGAGAGAGGGAGAGGGAAAGAGAGAAAGAGAGAGAGAGAGATGAGAACGAACGGAATGGACATAAATTGTTTTATAAAATTAGATTGTAAAATAAGTATACTTTATAGGCAAAATTTAAAACAATAATAGCAAAATTTTTCAGCAAAAAAAGTAAATTTTTGATATTTTAAGCAATTTTCGAAATTGCTTATTATTATTTCATTTAAATTACATTGTACTTAAATATTCTTTCATTCTATCTTCTCCTAACAATTAAATAATGAAACTAAATACTTTGAAACAGCAAGAATGTAATAAGCATTGTCACATATACTTATTACATTGTCAATGCTTATTACATTGTCACGTGTATACGCATTTTTTTCCTTTTCATTTCTATTTCAGATTATAATTCTTTGATAAAATGAGGAATGATAAGTTAGCTGACTATTATTATCATTATTATTATTATTATTATTATTATTATTATTATTATTATTATTATTATTATTATTATTATTATTATTATTATTATTATTATTATTATTATTATTATTATTATTATTATTATTATTATTATTATTATTATTATTATTATTATTATTATTATTATTATTATTATTATTATTATTATTATTATTATTATTATTATTATTATTATTATTATTATTATTATTATTATTATTATTATTATTATTATTATTATTATTATTATTATTATTATTATTATTATTATTATTATTATTAT